TGCTGGTGAGTCGTCTGTCCACAGTCTCAAATCAGAAGAGAGGCCATCCTTAAAAAACAATATTCAAAATTTTTTTTTATTGTCAGTGGTTTCATTTTGTGTCCATTTAAAATCAGGCAGCAACTTGCAAAAGATTGAAAAACAAAACAGGTGATTAGGATGCAAGACACTACATGGTCACTAATTAGTGTTGATATTTTTCTTTATTTTTCTTCCTTCCTTAATGTCTCACATAAACACTTTTAATTCAAAGAAAGATGTGTTTTGAATATTAATCAATAAATGCATACTTCTTAAACCAGCACCATATTAAAAACCAGTGTACAAATGAAACATCACACCATTAACCTCATACACAACTCTATGATTCATGTGTGTGTCTTGTGTCTGACTATGCTGGTTTCAGAGAATGTACAAGTTGTTCGACTGTGCATCATTAAGTGATTCAATCCTTTTTGGGAGTCCATAAATTTTCTCAGCTTTGGCCGTTAGTGGAGATATGGGATGGGAACCTCCAAACATCAGGTATAAATGTTAATAGAACAGACTTATGAAGATGTCTGATCAGAGACTCACTAAAAAGATGTTTAACTGGGACATCTCCCACTGTCATCCCTGGGCTAATTATATGAGACCCTTGTTTTATTTGAACAACTTGCTATTTATTTCCCAGAGCAGCTTACTCTGTGATATTCAGGAGACTAGGAGTAAAATGTTGCTCATGTTTGGAAAAAATGGTCTGATAAATACTTAGTATCTCATAAAGAATAGCTTCAGTGTAGAACCTTATGTGAAGTATAATTCAAACTAAAGACAAATATTCCTATGTGCACAGGGACATTACCATCAGCCTCAGAGACTGGTAGGTTTAATGCCACTCCAGAGGAGGACAGACATTGTTTGCTGTGTAACATACCGTAGGTGAAATTGAGAATGAGGCTCATTTTTTTGTTTTACTGTCCTGTCCAAAAAGACATAAGGGCTGTACTTTTCAGCAAAATGACCCCCATTTATGATGATTTGTTTTGGTTGGATGACCATGAAAATTTGAGTTATGTTTTAGAGGGGGAACCTTTTTTTGAGGCAGACTCTGTATATAGAAGGCAGAGTACTCTCTCTGGAGACTGAGCAGTAAGATAACATGTATTTTGGATGGATCACTGCAATTATATAGTAATGGGGTCTTGTAAATCCATGAGGGTTGGGCACATGTTTGTAAACATGACACAAAATAAAAAAATATTAATCAATGAATCAGTCATTCACTTGGAGGGCCAGTGTGTAGGATTTTCTGGCATCTAGCGAGGAGGTTGCAGAACTGAAACCTCTCCCATGAGCCAAGTGTGTAGGAGAGCTGTGGCGACCAAAATGTAAATGGCCCTAATTAGAGCCAGTGTTTGATTTGTCTACTGGAGAGACATGGCGTACTCTGCAGAAAAGGACCCACTTTGTATGCAGAAATATCATCTCATTCTAAGGTAATGAAAACCCAACAAATCTTATTTTCAGGTAGGTATAACCTAGTGATATAGTTATGAATATTACATATAGTTTCTGCCAATAAATCCCCCTAAATCCTACACACTGCACATTTAAAATCTCATACAAGTAGACCACTGGTTTTAAATATAAACAGTATAATGCCTCTAATACCAGCCTAATGATCTTACAAAGGACCTCTGGTACTCTCCAAATCTCTCAACAGTCTGCACAAATTCATTAATTTAATTAAAATCCCTTCAGTACCTGTAAATGAATAAAGAGATCAAGAATGAAAATAACAAACATCTATTAGATGTCAGAACATGAAATAAAACAAAAGTAAGAGTCTACAGCCCCGTTAGTGGCTCTTTGGGGCTGTTCTTCAGCACAGCCAGGCTTTGGGCTATACGCTAACATCAGGATGCTAACATGCTCACAGTGACAATGCTAACATGCTGATGTTTAGCAGGTATATGTTTACCATAATCACTGTCTTTGTTTAGCATGTTGGCCTACTAAATGTTACACTAAATGCAAAGAGCAGCTGAGGCTGATATCATTTGTTTTGCATAAACCAAAGTGCTGGACAAAGTCAACTTTAAAGGGATAGTTCAACATTTTTGGCAAATTTGCCTATTGCCGTAATCCCTATAGTCATATGAGTAGGTACATTACCTTTAATTGTCAGTGCGTGCTGTTCTGAGATCGGTGGGACAGAGCTGCCCGCTGAAATGGAGGTGAACGGTACAGGTCCCTCTCTCCCTCAAAACTAATCAAATACACCATCAAATGACTCCAAAACGCTCTAGTGGACAACACATGGCTTACGCATTCCCCACGCTATGAAATAATAATGTATAATTAAGTAACATTACGACACATGAAGCAAATACTCGGAACTACTTTCTTGAGTAAACCACTGGGCGGAGTGACACAGTGCGTACCTGAGACAGTGCCGTTGTTGTTGCTTGTAGCCATTTGCGGTATCGTCAGCTGGACGCACCAGAAGGTTAGAGGAAAGTTTACAGGTGTTTTTGTAAATCATGGTTTACACATGCATTGTAAAAGGTTGCAGTAACAAGCCGAAGACGTGGAGCAAACCAGTAATATGGACAGGATGAAACAATGGCTATTTGTACTGGACATCGACCCCAACACGCCTGTGGAAATAATCCGGAAAATGTTTGTGTGCTCCTGCCATTTTTTACCGGAGGACTACGCTGATAGGATGGAGCGCAGAAGCTCAGGAATGGTTCAAACGCTTTTCTTGAAAGATACTGTCATACCATCTGTCGGCATCACAAAACGAGCAGACGTGGTAAGTGATCGTTGTGTATTTTGCTTAACATTAGCCTACAACCCAAGCATGGTAAATAAGGCTAAAATGCAAATGTTGTTGTTATGTTATGGATAAGTGCTTGCCCAGAGCATATAGTAAAGTGACTGGCATTACTTCTCATTGTTGGGAATAAACAGACTGCTAGGGAACATTTCATATTGTTGTTCCTTCAGGAGTTGTGGTGATTTATGAGTGTGGAGTTAGCATGTTCTCCCCGTGTTCCGGTGATTATTTTGAGACGTACTCTATATTTATATTGCACAGGTGTACCTAATAAAGTGGCCAGTAAGCCCCACATTTACACCACCGGCTCTGGGTCTCCCCTCAGCCCCTGGATGTTCGGCAGCCTCAGCCTCTCTTCTTGCTCTCTCTTCTTCCAAAACCTGTAACTCTTCCTCTGTATATTCTGACTTCTTCTCAACAAACTTGTTGTTTTGATGACGGGAGTAACTGCACTAAACATACGCTGTTTGAAATCACTCCGCCCAGCAAGTACTGTATTTCTGGAATGTAGCTCTGGCTCTGCATTTGGCTTCAAAACAACTTTGTCTCGTAATATTACATTATTATTTCATAGCATGGTGAATGTGTAAGCTACAAGTTGTCCACACGAGCGTTTTGGAGTCATTTGATGGTGTATTTGATTAGTTTTGAGGGAGAGAGGGACCTGTACCGTTCACCTCCATTTCAGTGGGCAGCTCTGCCCCACCGATCTCACAACAGCACGCACTGACAATTAAAGGTAATGTACCTACTCATATGACTATAGGGATTACGGCAATAGGCGAATTTGCCAAAATGTCGAACTATCCCTTTAAGCCTCATGATGGCGTGAGATGAAAACCTAGGGCATCACCAAAGCTGATACAATTCATCCTGCCGGGGACATGCATGTGTAACATGTTTCATGGTGATCAAGTTTTTGAGACATTTAGGCTACCTAAATGTCCACAACACTTAATATTTGAACAAGAGATTAACAGAGTCATTAGAAGTCATCCTCAGAGACCCATGAATATCTGTGCCAAATGTCATGGGTGGCACGTTGGTTCAGTGGTTAGCACTTTCGCCTCACAGCAAGAGGGTGTCAGGTTTGACTCAATCAGCCTGCTGTGGCCCTTCTGTGTGTTTTTTTTTTTTTTTTTAAAGATTTTTTTAGGGCTCTTGCCTTTATATTAGAACTGCTGGGGAGTGACAGGAAATGGGAGAGAGAGAATGGTAATGACACGCAGCAAAGGGCCACAGGTTGGAATCAAATCAGGACTGCTGATAACCGCACCTTTAGTGCACACTCTACCCAGTGTGCTAAAGGGTGCCCCACTTTTGTGTGGCGTTTCGGTTGTTCTCTCCGTGTCAGCATGGGTTTTCTGCAGGTTCTCTGGCTCCCTCCCACAGTCCCAAAACAAGCACTTTAGGTTAACTGGTGATTCTAAATTGCCTGTAGGTGTGAATGTGAGCATAAATGGTTGTCTGTCTCTAAGTGCCCTGTAATAGCCTTTCGACCTGTCCATCTGGGATAACCCTTATTTGTGACCGCTTATCCTGTACCAGAAGAATGAATCATTAGGATTCATCCTCAGGGACCCATGAATATCCACATGTCATGACAATTCAGTTTGTTGAGATATATTAGTCTGGAGCAAAGTGGTGGATCGACTGACCAACATTACCATAGAATGACGCAGCTAGTGCCTTAAAGCACAAAATGTCAGAATGTTGTCAAAATGACTAATGCAAAAACAAAAGTAAAGATAAAAATCCACACATACCCTGTTAAGTGAATCTGAATTAGTCAATCACACAATTTGACGTTCTTAGGCATCAACAAGCAGCACTGTGTTCACCGCTCGCCTCCCACGTCTCCAACTGCTTAAATACAGGCATCAATCAAGCCTCCATTCACAAGATAACACTTTAACTCTTCACTGCAGCTGAGGACGGCAAGATTCTCCTACGCCACAATAATGTATGTCAAGATAATTATGATTACTCCAATAAGCAGACTCAGAAACAACATAATAAAGCATGATTATGTTCTCAAAGTGAACACCTGCCTAAATAACAGTGGGCTAATGTGATGCTTTATCATGTGTGGTGAAGCCCTAAGGGTGTGTTTATGGATTACTCTTTCATAGTTAATATGTGTTTGCGTTATGATGGTGAAGTGATTAATCGACCAGTGATCTAATGAAATGTAATAACTATTTGTTCTAGAAACTGAGCCAGTGTTTGTTCAAGCTTGTGTTTGTGGTGATGTGTGGTGCGGTGGATGGAATATAATATGTAAATAAATATGTGCTCAGAGAGTTAAACAGGAAAAATTAAGGTAAATGAAAACAAAGATCTGTTGGGGTCCATGTAGTAAATACATGCTGTTCTGCGCTTAAGTAGCGCTTAAGTAGGAAAGCTAATTCAGTCATCACCCACCTGAGGTGCAGCGTGTTTATCAGTGAATCTGCTGTGTGATGTTGCTTTAGTTGACGTCCTTGCTGAATGTCGTTGAACTTTAACAGGATTGGTTGAACCTGAAGATGACACAAAAACGATTAAGTATCTGGGACACAGACAAATTGTGAATTATAATAAATCTAACTATGCACAGTAGTAACTGCTCTCAAGGCCAGATTACCCCAGGAGGGGGCCCTGGGGCAAAAATCAGCCATGGGCCCTTATTGACCCCCCCAGCACTCCTACTCTCTGTGTGCCTCACAGAGCAGACAGCAGACAAATGGCAGCTTAATAATACAGTATTATGCCTAGAGTCACGCCAACTACCACTCCTGTTATTGATCACTACCTGCCCACGGTTTGCTGTGTGTCAATTTGTTTGTTATAATTTCATTAAACAGAAATGTGTGCATCCTGTTAACACAGTATAGTAAACATTATTGTCCTTAACAGTGTGTTTCTGGAATAAACACAAAGCCCAACCTTTCTGGAATATTAAATAAGTTTTCACATCTGCTTAGCTGCAGTAACATTAACATATATTACATTTATATTACACTGACACCACTGGCTCCAACTTTTAGCAACAGGAAATGCAGAGCCACTTGGCAGGACTAGCTAGCAGTTTTGAGGTATGCTAGCTAACAACTAGCTCAATTAGCAGCAAAATAAAACATTACACTATCTAATTTTCGATGAAACAACATAATTACATACTAAGAAGTTATGTCCAACAGCAAAAGACGTATTTTACCAGGAGAAGCAGTCACCCTGTGCTCTCTGCCATGCTTCACAAATAATGTGCCCTCACTTATACTACTGCTGTCTAATGACCAGGAGGGGGCACTGCAGCACCCAAAATCAGTTTTAAATGCAACCCAGACACAAGGCACAACAGTAAAGGTAATACAACTAAACAAGATATATGCAGATGTGCAGGAGCTACTTCCAAACCCAGATGATCATTTGTATGTCAGATACTCACTCTGTGTTACCCTGAATTTGTGAAGGAAACTTTTTCTCACATGTCTCCATGTTGAACGAAGAATCCAAAAAAACAGCATTCTTGATGGGTTGAAGTCATTGGGGTCTGCGTTTAACATCAGCAAAACTATTAAAAAAAAAAGTCTCATTTATCCAGTGCTGTGCTCAGTGCTTCTGAAACACATGCATTTTCATGAAAACAGTAGTATTTAAAGTGTTTTAGATACTGCAGTTTTAGCAAAAATGCATGTGTTTAGGAAATAGCATAAGACTGAATAAATGAGACTTGGATTATACTGCATGAGTTATGTAAATGAGTATTTTTCATAGAGCCTGGTTTTACTATTTTTAACTGTGGACCCCTATGACTTCTATTCATCAAGAACTTTCTGTTTTTGGATTCTTTGTTCACTGTGGAGGCATGCAAGAAAAATAAAGTTTTCTATAGGTAACATGGAGTGCGTTACTGATATACCAATGATCATTTGGAGGGTGATGTGTTCCTTTAAATCCTTTATGAAGGTGAACACTAGCTATTTTTATTAAACCTATTAGATATGAAAGGGTACATATGCACATCACTGGCAGCAGTGGTGTTTGCAGCATTTTGACATAATTTTAGTTATTTTAAAACTGTTTATTGAAAACATGTCACACTGTGGATGCAGCAGAGCAAATTCTGACTATCCAACTACAGCCGACATCACAGAGGTGAAACCTTCAACCAGTGAGGGCGGTGGAATTTTGATTTTCAGCCTGGTGTTCAGTGATGTTTTCACTTTTCTCTATTTTGTATTTGTATGATAAAAATTTATGTACTTTGTGTGTTTAACGTTTTGCGTGTGTGTTTCACTGCTAAACAACAAATTGCCCTTTGAGGTCAAAGTGAACAACTGAGACAAAATTGATTAATCTACAATTTACTGGATTAATAAGAAGTAATGTAATCATTTAGTCCATTAGATTGTGGGGAGCTCAAGGTGACCCCTTCAAACTGCAACATTCAAATCTTAAAGATATTTACTTTACTATCATATAAGATGATAGAAAGCAAAAATCTTCACATTTGAGAAGCTGGAGCAAGAAAATGAAGTTGTTGCCAATTAATGTTCTCCCTATCAACTAATCTATAAATTAACTAATCATACCGGCCGTAGTCTAATTTGAGTTTCAGCTGCCCCAAGCGTTTGGGGCCTGGGGCAGTTGTCCTGTAGGTATGCCAGCCTTGAATACTAATATAATCTGTCCAACTTCATAACTCAGACCTGCACAGCATCTGATATACAGTATATTGTGACAGACAAAAGATATATATTTTAATGTCAATGTTGTTATTTGAAGCAAGTTTTAAAATAATCTCTTGTTGTTTTACCACTGAGCGTTGCTCTCAAAACTGCATCAGGGATCCTCCTGGAGTTCCAATCCTTATCTTCCCTCAGGTCTACACAAATAACAGAGGAGTTTGGGGCAGTGTGTGGCCGCTCTCTGAAACCTGGAGGCACCCACAGAGCAGAGGCCACATGCTGAAAATCTATGAATTTCTGTCGACCTTTGACCCCTAAGACTACCTCCGCTCCAGCACTTAGCTGGCCACAGCAAGGATCCAGCAAGGGAACGTCGTCTCGTAAAGGAGCCAGGTTGACACGCTCAGCCGAAGGCTGACTTCTAGCAAAAGGAGAGTTTACACGTCCAGATTCCTGTCCATCTTCTCCACCTCCAGCCCTGTACAGACTGGAGCTCAGCCGTCTGATGACATGCAGCTCTGCAGAGAATGGCTTGAAGGGATCCAAAACTGCTGTCATTACTGCCAGGGGAGAAACTCACAGTGTATATGTGTGTCTACAGTATGTGTGTGTGGTTGACAGAGCAGGTCATAGATCTGCTGTCTGGCATAATGATGCAGTGAGCACTGGTTGCTCAGAGACCGTCTTTGTTTGCTGCTAGAATCAAATTACTGATATGCAGAGAGGCAACATGACCTGCTGGCTGTGTGTAGCTCCATACCATAGCACATTCATGTGTAAACAATTACTCTGTGTTTGTTATAATAATGGAGAACAAAGATCTAATGAACATCCCTCAGTATCTATTTTGGATGCCCCACACACACCAATAATTCACCTCAGGGGAGCTTTCACGACAACTGTTTCCTCTGAGCTGTAATGTTCTGGCAACCTACAACTACCAATTGATCACACTGACCAAATAAAAATGTTTTGTCAGTCGTCAGGGCGGCTATTGTCCCTGGAAAATTACTCCACTCAAATGTGTTTTGGTGGCAAATAATAATGAGAAGACTCTGCCACAGGGTTTACTGAACTGACCCTCCCGAGAGAACGCTGCATTATGTCTTGTGATGGGTTAGGAATAGTTTATTTTCTTGAGGAAAAAAAACATATTTTCCTCTCTGTAGAAGATAGTAGTTTTCTGCTTTTCTTTCAAAGCACCACTAGATGGAGTAATAGAGCCTGTATTATCAGCTGGTAACACCAGAAAACAGGCCTGTGTGTGTTGTCCTGTCCCTTATGAATTTAATGACAGTCCACAAATATCACAGCAAAAAATATAATTCCCTCCTGTAATATTACGATGATACATTATGAAATTAGAAATACCATTATAGCTCAACAAGGTGACCATAATACCAACACTGAATACCTCAGACACACTCTGGAGTCCCTGAAGAAATATAAAAATGATTTTTCTTCAGTGCACGCAGGCTAAACAACAAGCAGAAGTGGTGTTAGTTGACTTCAAATGTGAGCCGTGTTTTTATAGTTGACAGTAAACTAAATGAAAATTATGTAAATCGCACGGATGTAAAAAGTGTTTTCACAAATGGTGTAATCCGGTGAATGCACTGGCTTGAAAGAGCTGTCTTATATTCACTGGAGCAAAGAAACACAAAATACTAATGTGCCTCAGTGCCTATTAATTAGTTTGCTCGGGTTGTCTGAATTGTTAATGCAGATGTAAATATTCCACAGAAAAATATATAGGCACATTTACTGATTCTGTTATGCATGAGGCTTTAAATAAATAGTGAGAGCACCCTGGCTAGGTGGCATTTTTCTTGGGAGAGGATCCATGTTAATGTGTCAGTGGCAATGACGGTGATGCTTGCTGATAGATGATTTTTACTCAGGCTGTCATTAGCAAATGTAAACACCCAAGAGCTGTTTAAAAGGATGTGTTAAAAATAGCCTAATTAGAGTTATTCTGATAACTGAGTGGTGAATATGCCCGACTCCCACACAATGTTCCTCCACAAAAGGAGAACACAAATGACACTTGTGAGATCTGATGTGTGCTCCTTTTGAAATCGCTCTCCAGATAAAAAACATGCCATTTGTTGCATCAGTCTTGTGTCTCCTGAGAGCTGTGCTGATTGTACTTTCATACATTTCTAATGAATTAGGTTATATAGGTCCAGAGGTCCTCATGATTTATTGCATTTGGAGTCCATTAATTATTCCCATACCAGAAAATTTTCCATTCACCATTTTATAGTCCCCCAATGCTTTGTATCCCAATTATTTTGCAGGGGGGTTTCTGTTGTTGCAGGAATTTAAATACCAGCCTCAGCCTGAGATGGCTGAATTTTTCGCAGGGAATCAGATATTGCCGGAGTGAGGAGTCATTACCATCGTAGCAGCCCTTGTTACTGAATCCTGTGTTATTAGTCAGCTTGTCTGCCATTCTCCAGACTCCTCCACAGTCTCAGAAATTATTTAAATCTCACATTTTGCCCATGGTGCTATGCCCAATGCTACAGAGTAGCAGCCATTAATTTGCACAGGCTGCATTCATCTGAGGGAAACTGTTGCTCTGGATTAAGAGGCATTGTTGTTGCTGCTGCTGCTGCTGCTGCTGCTGCTGCTGCAGAGGGTCATCAAAGCAAAGTCACAATTGTAGTGTTGTGGCTGAAGACAATATGGGCTGATGCTGCTCTGGGCAGGACATTATTTTTGTTAATCAGACAACAGGGCTGAGGGTGACCCAGGATGACACCTTGGGATCAGACAGGCAGGGCCGGGAGGAGATATGGCTACTGGGCATGGGGAATGGATCATCCAAGAGTGGAGAGGACGCTCCAGAATGTAGACAGACAGCATCCTTCATCACAAACTGTGCTGGCGAATCAGCGCTTCAAGAAATTAAACAGATAAATAGGAAGAGACGACAGACAGATATTAATGTTTGCAATTGTTCATGTCATATAACCTTTAATGCATTCAGATAGGGCTATATCTCCTGAAAGTCACACCCATGTAAAGCTATCTCTTTGTCTGCTGGATATACAATTCATTCAGTTCATAACAGGGAACCTTATCTACGTCTGATTCTACATCCACTTCTGGGATCATGTCCGTATGTCTTGTAAACTGATGAAAATGCATGATCATATTTATAGCATAAGGGCCTTAAGTCATAGCTCATGGGTCATATTCATCACACAGTAAAGGCAATGAATTGATTAGTGCTCGATGACCATGCATGCATTAGATTAGGGGGCAAATTGGCTGAAGTGAACTCTGTCTCATGCTGCGTGCGGCACCCTCAGCCATTTGGAAAAATCCAAACAGAGTGCAGAGATGAAGCTCCCACGAGCGGCGGGGGTAGCCATGTCCTCAGAGAGTGGCCGAAGGCTTTATTGTAGTGCTGCTTCCCTGCCCTCGGTTGCTGCAGCTCTCCGCTTGTCACACTCAGTTAGCTCAATGAAGTAATGAATATGCCGCTGTACATTTTTCATGAGGGTGGTGGGAGTGAAAAATCTGCTCTTTATAATGCTTTTAATATGGACGTTTTCACACACACTCTTCCCCCGCAAAGCACCCTTTGGGCTATCATGATGCCACATGACCGTCATGTTTAATGTTAACATTCCCCAGGGGAGAGTCAGCATAATGCAATGTCACTTTCAGTGATGAATATGTTGACTACAGCAGATATACAAGCAGCTGTAAATCATGAGTAAGTTAAGATAACAGCCCCTGTCTTCCTTGCAAAGAAGTCAGGGGCTGCACAGGAAAAAACTGGTGGGAAAAGATCTCACTGTACTGTGAGTCACCTATTCAGGTCTCACATCATTAGAGTAATTAATTAGATTACAAGGAAGCACACCCATGAGCAGTGAAGGGAGAGGTATTCAGATGCTTTACTTTAAAGTATTAACACTGCATTGTGAAAACACAAGTAAAAGTCCTGCAGTCTTATGTAGAAGTATGTAGCCTAAGTATGATCATTAAAAAGTATGGTGTTTTTGGATGAACATTCCTGCTGCATTTATGTGTATGTTGCATTTTACTGCTGCAGATGTTTACAGTTATGCTAATTTTAACTTCCTGTTGCGTAGTTTAGTCTGCAGCAATGCATCATATTCTATAAGATCATCTTATGTTTAGCAATACTGTCCTTTGAGAACCATGTATCTCTAAAAGGTCAGCTTTTCATGAGCTCAGAAAGAGCAGCCCTGTTTTTTAGCTTTGTGACAATGCATTTTCCAGCAGATCCAAGGTTNCGGAGTTGGACACGCATATATATTTAAATCTTCATCCTGCAGTTGGTCAAAAACATTCACAATCAACATTTCTGGCGATACACGGTTTTCACTGGACATGAAGGGGAATAAAAACGATAATTTGAGGAGGAAACTACAGCTGCCAGACATATGTAGTGGAGCAAAAATACAATATTTTTCTTTAAGATTAGATGCAGTAGAAATATAAAGTTGCAACAAATGGAAATACTTCAATAAAGTACAAGTACCTCAAATTTGTACTTAAGTATAGTACTTGAGTATTGTACATATTAGTCTTCATTCCACCACTGCCCATCAGCTTCCAGGAAATGGAGGACTGGTAACGATCCAAGAATTAATGCAAATGGAGCACACTTGTGCTGTCCAAAAATCATCAACAATCTAGTAATTACGCAAATGACACAGGTGTGGCATGTTTTTAACCATTTTAAATGCACTATTTTCAACCATTTAATTAGCATGGAAACATGACATTGACACTGCTGCCCAGCTGGTGTTTTACGACAGTGACTCCCAACCAGAGGTACTTCTGCAGGTTACAGGTGGTCTGTGGAAAGATTGGAGTAGGTCAAAATAGAAATTATGATTTGATTAAAAAAAGAAAAAACATATCCACATATTTGCGTTGAGAAGGAAATAAACATCCAGGATTACACATTGGTGTGACAGAGTGAGGTGAACAGCTGAAATTATTAGCTAAAAGTAATAGATAAACAGTTGAAAAAGTCAAAGTAAAAGATAAACAGTTGAAATATTCAAAGTAAGGGACTGTTCTTTATTTGTCACAGGAGGTTTTTTATTATCTTAACCCTATATTTTACTTTGAGGCTTTCCTGTGTGACTAGCAGAAAATGCATGAATTTCCATCCACCATAAATTAGTTACTGGATTTTTAAACACCTACCCTTGAGAGTTAAAAGTTGAAAATGCCTCTGTTTTTCACCCTTGTCGTGCATGCTGTTTAGTTTGAGCAAATGGTTGTTGTTTTTTGTCCAAATTTTAGATGATACATGTAGACAGGGTGATTTTGATGAAATATCACTGTCTTAAGCTCAAATGTGGGTGTTTTTTTTTCTGATGGGAATGTTTGTTGCACATGATGTGTAGCTGTGATGTGATGATGTGATGTGCAGGATTGTCAGATATTTGAAAATCCAATGATAGTTTCTATTTTTACAGTTTCTGGCCATGATATATGGTGTAAATTTGGCAATTTTTAAAGAGAGCATGCCCTCCAAACCCACAAGAGGATTTGGAAAA